CCGCGGTGGGCGCGCAGAGCGGGGCGGGGCTTCCTTGCTGCGGGTACCGCGTGCCCGCCGGTTTGGCCCGGGGTGGCTACGCGTGACAAGGGACGTGGTTCCGATCCCAACTCTTCATCTGTAAATGGAGAGACTTCATTTCCTACAGCAGGATGTTGACTGTGAAGACCGCACAAAATAGGTGCACCTGTCTGCTTCGTAAAGCAGTTCGCACCGGTTATAATACCGTAGCAAGACCCGGCCCCTGCCCCTGCCCCTGCCCCTGCCCCGAGGAGCGCACCGGGTGACGCTGGTATGTGCCCCCGCCCCCCGGGCCAGGAGAAGCTGAGTGGTGGCGAAGAGCTGTGATGAGGGTCTGAGCCTGGCCAGAGGTGTGCGGCCCAAGCTTCCCCTGGGCTTCACAGCCGCTGGGGGGGTCCTGCGGGGGCAGATTGGAGGAGCGCGCAGGGTCCCGTGATCGAGTCTGCATGGAGGAATGCACAAGTTGGGGCAAGATCCCTGATCTGAGCGACGCGAAGCACTGACGGTGAACAGGGCAGTCCGCGGCAGCTTGAGACTGACCTCGCTTGAGCCTTGGACTGGCGTTCAGGTACATGTAATACCCACCTCGTGGGCGGGACAGTGGCATGAGGGGGTCCCCTCAGGACACAGTGTCATGAAGCCGTTACCCTAGGTATCTGGCACTGGTGGATGTAGCGGGATGTGGGAAGGAGGCGCCAGGGATGACGCCTAGGGTCTGCCCTGCGAAGGAGGGAACTCCAAAAGGGAGAGCACCATTGTCAGGCATGATAATGAGCTATTTATGTGGGGCAGGTTGGGTGGAGAACTGTCCAGAAGGCAGCCATCCTGGGCCCAGGACCTACACCAAGAAGCCTTCCAGGCCGTCTGGCATCTGGACCATCCACACCAATCACCCCCATTTCACTGTGGTCCCTCCTCACTTCTGATCCTGAGTGCAGCTCCCCAGGAGACTGTGAGCCTAAAAGGCAGGGTGGGGTCACAGTCATGTGATGTCCCCAGCTTCACCCAGCCCAGCACTGGGCCCCAGGCAAGAGCTGAGAGCACGGAAGCTAGGTATTCAAGGGAGGTGGGGAGTCTAGCAGCTTGGAAAGAGCCCAGCCTGCCCTCCGCATCCCCTTTGGCTGGTCCTGGCATCCCCAAACACCTCTTTTCTATTGAAGGGCTCCCTCTATCACCTTCAACTTCTGTCTTCACTCCCCACTGCACTCTGATGTGCTGGGTCCCTGGACCCTGCCTTTCCCACCTGAGTCTCTGTCCAATGGGTCCTTTCTGAATTCCATTGTCTTTTGCTCAGATTCCTGCTTAACTACATAAGAAAGAAGGTGCCAGGCTGACCCAGGTACAAATCCCAGCTGCAGGTATCCGTCAGGAGCCTTTGGGTCGCAAGAAACAGGAAACCAGCTTCAAGCTGGCTTTAGAGGAGAATTTACTGGCTCAAGGAACAGAGGTGCAGGAATGGCCCTGGCTTCAGGTCTGGATAGAAAAAGGGGCTCGAAGGAGGGCACAGGGTCACGTCCTCTCCCAGCTGCCTCTACGGGGTCCTGCACACCTTCAGGCAGGCTGGTTTTGCTGGGCCCACAACCCCGGGAGCCCCAGGCTTCCCTCCACCTACCAAGGCCTCTGGTAAGACACAGCTGGTGTCGTACTGCCAGTGCTCAACCAAGGGCCCTAAGGCCTAGGCCTGCCTGACCCAACCCCCTGCACAATTGTAGCAAGGGCTCAGGGGGTGCCTGGCCCAGGTGTCAGGTCCCCACAGCCCTGGGGTTGTCTGCAGGGGGTGAGCGCCCCCAACGCCCACTCCCGATGCTCCTCTCCCTGTATCGTGTCAGCACCTAGGAGGTGCTCAGGATCAGCACTGATTATCAATAGCTTGTTGCTGCTGAGTCTAAACGGTATCGTCCTCCATCTGTCCTATTGTGGGCCTGCCCATCAGACACATTTCTTCCCTCCCCCAATAAGATTCTGCTTCATTTCACCAATGTTCCTCGACGGGTCCTCAGTGCAGGCCAAGTGCTGGGTGGTGCTGGGACAGATCCCATCCCTGACCTGAGGAGGTCACAGCAGGGGAGGAAAGGGCATCCTCGCCAGCCTGCCCCACACGAGTGGAGGGCTTCTCCGAGGAGAGACCTGGGTTCCACCTTCCCCGGCCACTCTGTGTCTTGTTTGGAACCAGGAGAGGGGAGGGCAGATGGAGTGTGAGCCTGCTGTGTCATGGCATCCGGCAGGAGGGGACAGCTCAGGATTGGAGGGCAGGCTCGCCTTTAGAATGTGTCTCTATCTCCCGAGTAGAGACAGCACCCCTCTCGAAATCCTATTGTAATTACCCATTGACTCACTGCCCCACCCACACCCCAAGTTCAAGGAGAAGCCTGCGTCCTCCCCATGACCCAGGCCTGACACATGGGACATGTGGAAAGGTGTCACCAGCAAGTCAAAGGAACTGATTACCTAATTTATTTTAATCTCAGAAAATTTGTCTAATCGATTTGGAGGCCTCCACTGCCTCCACTGCAGGAGACCTGCCCCCTGCCTGAGTCCCTCCCTAATGTCAGCTTACACTGAAGGAACCTGAGAAACATTTAGGGGCCAGGATCGCCCCTCACGGGCGCATTCCAGTAAAATCAGCAACTCCCTGATTTAAGGGCCACGTTAAGAAAAGGGAGAAACTGAGACTGAGGCAGCATTTGTAAAATTGGCTCAGATCGTGGTAAAGCCACGGGCCACAGTGCTGTGTGTTTGTTGCCACAACAGGGCAACCCTGGGCTCAATCCACACGCCCCATAAAGTGTGTCAACTCAGTGCCTGTGCACTCGTATGATTAAAGTCATAGCTGGCAAAGGGAACCACATACCCGAGGCCCCTTGATCGGCACCACTGAAGCCCCCTGGGAAGCTCACAGACCTCTCCAGAGACGGCAGAGGGCCCCCCACATGCTTGTGCTTCTTTGAGGTGGGGGGGGGCAGCTGGGGGACCCACAGACGGTGAGGTGAGGCCTTGCGGAGGCCCAAGGCGAATCTTAGGGCCTCCACTAGCTGTGACCCGGGCAAGTCACTTCCCCCATCATGGGTGCCCTCAACCAAAAGATGGGACAACAGATCTAGAGTATGAGGAAGACAAGGTGAGGGTTTATCCCAGGGGCAGCCTGGGGAGAGGGGGTCCCCAGGGGCTGTGTGGAAGACTGTCCTCCCTGAGCTGCGCTGGCCTCCAGCCAACCCCGCCTTCCAACCCTTGAACACCAGGAGATGCGGGAGTGCCCTGCGAAGATACAGTTTGCAAGGCAAGTGGTAAAAAACTAGTTTGGTTCTAACTGCTTGAGGCTGCCCCTCAGCCCTGAACAAGGACGAAAAGATCCTGACTCGTGTTTAAAGTCGATTGGTGTCCCCGCTCCCTGTAACGCTGCTGGTTACAGGGCTTTTTGCTTAAAGCTGCAAAATTACTCAACAGAACCACCTAACGGGCTCTAGCCGCTTCTAACCCTAGAAGCCAGGGGGCAGCCGATCTGACCCTGGGGAGGGGGCCAGGCCTAGCTCACTGCAGGAGGTGGACGGCCGCAGCCTTTCGGATGAGCCGTTGGGTCAGGGGTGAGTTCGGCTTCAAGGCGTCACGCTCCATCAGGAGGCTCCTGTGGAAACAGGGACAGGGTCTGTGGTGGAATCTTCTAGAAGGATGTGGGGCCTGATGGTTCCCGGGCCCCAAGGCAGGACAGGCAGCTCGGCCTGGGGCTGAGATGAGCAGAAAGCAAGTTGCTCCCCTTCCCGGGCTACCGGAGAGAGGGGACAGGAGGGACAGAGCCCAGCGGCAGGAGGCCTGACCTTGGCAGGGGGACCAGGTGGTGAACCAGGCGCGGGAGGTTCAAGGATGAGAAGGTAGGGACTCCAGTGCGTAACCAGAACGTCCAGTGTTTGGAGAACATTTTGATGCTGTCCCCAAGACACACATAGCTGGGTGAGCACATAACTGTGGCTTCATCTGCCTCAGGAAGCCAGGACCCATCCTTCCACCGGACAAGAGGGTAGAACTGGACTGTGGGGGTCAAGGGGAAGCCAGGCATGAGGCCCGCTGGGAAGGCCAGTGGCTATGGAAAGGCAAGTCTGAAGAAAGCAAGTATCGTTTAAGGGAAAGACCCCCAAACAATCGACAAGAGTGATTCCGTGGGGTGAGTGGGGGTTAAGGGGCTAGGCCTGGCCCTAGGGGTGGGGACGCCATTGCAGGGGGCCCAGGATCTCCACCTTGGAGGGGAGGGGTGTGAGCTTCCTGTCAATGACAGGAGGGCACTCGGAGGCGAGCCTGTCACCCTGGCTGTAGCAGGTGGCCCTCAGTGGGCTCATGGGCTCCAGGCTGCCTGTGGGGCCCGTTCCCCCTCAGCTCGCCCATGGGCAGACCCCCTGCTGCATAGTACCCTCTGCCCAGCCCAGAGGGCATCCTCTACCCACCATGGCAGGCCCCCACCCTGCTCCAGCCCTCAGCCCTCCTGTCCAAAGGGCCTCACCTTCCCTGCCAACCCGCACCCACACCGGGACCTGGAACTCTCTAAGGGATCTGCCCCCTAAAGAAAGGGGTGTGGCTTTTATGAACCACACGTGTCCAAAGATGCTTCAGAGTCTTGACCGATTCCAGAGCGTGTACACCTGTTTCATCAGCACTGAGAACACCTGCACTGCTCCGTTTGGAAATGTTGTTGGGGCAGCTGGGGCTCACCCAGCATGCACCGCCTGAGCCTACGCTCAGACCCTCGGGCTTTCCACCTGACTTCCACGGCTCCGCCAGAGGCCACCCGGGACTCACCGCAGGGCTTTCACTGGCTCTCCTGACACCTACCCACAGCTCCTCCCTTCCTCGCTTTCCCTTCGGTGTTCTGGGGTGGGGGGCGCAGGGGACCCATGAGGAGGGGTCACATCTCACCCCAGAGGTAGAAGATCTGGTGCAGGAACCAGCATGGAACTCGGCTGCCCCATGTAGGGCAAGGCGAGTCAGGTGTGGGAGCTCCAAGGCTGTTAGTGAGGGCCGGGCTTTGCAGAGCTTTCTTCTGGGGGCACCCCCGCCCCCACATCCCTAACCCTCCAGCCCCTCCTCCTAACCAGACCATGGGTCTGGTCAAACCCGCTGGTTTCAGGCCTCCCCTCAACTGTCTCTTCTTCTCCAGGACATCCTCTCTCCCTAACTCCCCACCAGCTCCAGCTACCCCACAGCCTTGAGGGCAATGTGCCCTGCCCCAGCCCCATTGTGCGTGCGTGCGTGCGTGTGTGTGCGTAAGAGATAGTTGCTAGCGTTACTTCCCACATGAGAAGTAAGAACCACCCGCCAGGCCTTGGGTCTGCCTGCCACAACCTCCCCCCACCCCCCCGCCACCTCCTGGAGCCCAGCAGTCAGCCCCGTGAGAAAGAAAGAGCATCCCCAGCAGAGGATGCGGCATGTGCAAAGGCCCAGGACCCTGAAACAGCAGGTCGTGTTGGGCAACTTACAGCAAGGCTCGAATGAGGAGTGGTCTGGGGAGGGCAGGAGGACCAGCCTGGGGGTGGGGTGGACCCCCTCTGGCCAAGCCGAGCATGCTAACAGGGAAAACCAAGCCCCCCCCCCCATAGCCTCGGGCGGTGGGAGGTGGGAGCCTCAGGGCAAGCTGGAAGCCTGTGGGGAGACCCCCATGAGAGAGGGAGCGATGCTCAGAAACGTCCCCAAGCCCGGCGTGGGTGTGAGCGAGGAACTCACCGTGCCACGTTCTTGTGGACGCCAGAAGTGCAGTTCAAGGCCGCATGGATCAGTAACTGGTTGAAGACGTCTCTCTGAAAGGTCACCGGGCAGGTTGGGCTCCTATAACGTGGGATGAGGGGCGGGAGCCCCCACCCCACTGCGGGCAGGGCTGTTCTCAGGGGCAAACTTCCCGGGGGATGCGAATGGTAAGGACACCCCCGCACCACGGGCGCCCACGCCGGGAGACCCTGCCGGACCCAGGCTGCTGGTGTGGCCGGAGGCTCACCTGGGCGTTGCTGCCTCCGATCTGGACGATACGGTAGCGGATGGGCAGGAGCAGTTCCACGACACGGTCCGGGTTCCCGTGCTCGGCCTCCACCAGGGCCTGGCACAGGGGCAGCCCCACGTCACGGGCCAGGAGGTGCTGGCAATTCTCCCCGGGGGACCTGCCAGCCGGAGAAGGTGCCCTCGGTCACCTGCAGGGCACTCTGCACTGCCTGTCACAGCACAGATGCCTCCCTGCCTGACTCAGGCGTCCTGAGGGGAGGGTGTCCCCGGCTCTGGGCCTGACACAGCAGGTGCTTTGGTCGGGCGAGCCGACAGAGAAGCGGCCAGGAAGGGGAGACGAGGGGGTTCTCTCAACCCTGGGTTGAACTCTGCTGTTCACTAGTGACCTGACTTCAGGCAGGCCCCTCAACTTCTGGCCTCACCTTGCTCATCTGTAAAGTGTGGGGAACAGTGCCAACCGCTCGGGGCTGTCAGGAGGCTTGCAGACGATGAGGGTAAAGGCCTGGTATTGGAGTTGGCCCCGGGGCCGAGGCAGACGGCTGTCACGGCCCCTGTCTCCCTGCTGGCCCTCAGGTGGCCGCTGGTCTGGGTCACAGGGCCTGCAGCCATGGAGGCAGCGGCCGGCTCTAAGCCTGTCTTAGAAGCCAAAATCAAATACTCGGGGCGCCTGGGTGGCTCAGTCGGTTGAGGGTCCGACTTCAGCTCAGGTCATGATCTCACAGTCTGTGGGTCCGAGCCCCATGTCGGGCTCTGTGCTGACAGCTCAGAGCCTGGAGCCTGCTTCGGATTCTGAGTCTTCCTCTCTCTCTGCCCCTCCCCCGCTCATGCTCTGTCTCCTTCTCCTTCAAAAATAAGTACACATTAAAAAGATTAAAAAAAAAATACTCAAGTGCTTGGTGGGCTCCCCAGGCCTTCCCTGTGGTTGAAAAGACAGGCAACAGCGGACACCTCTCCTGAAGCTGCCTCCCCGGCCACAGGCCACGGTTCCTGCAGCACAGCTCTGGGAGGAGGGCTAGGGCAGCGGCCGTGGCGGTGGCCAGCCCGCGCCTGGCCCCCAGGGCAGACCACCAGGGGTCATGCCTCCCGCAGCTCCAGCCCTACAGGGCGGGCTCAGCTACACCCCCGGTGGCCCACGCTGCGGAGGACCCTGGGCTCCCCGGGGCCTCCCCCCCCCATGCCAGGAGCTGTGCCAGGGAGCTGTATGACCGTGTCACTGCACCTCCCTCTCCTGCCACTGTCCCCAGCTTGCAGATGAGGAAACTGAGGCTCAGAGCAGAGATCTGAGGCTCAGTCCGGGATCTCAGATGCTGTAAGCAGCAGGTCTCTCTGGTTCTGGGGCCTCACCATGTCCCCCGTGGGAGGCTGTGCCCATGACACAGATGCTGTCACCCCCAGCCGGGAGATGTGCCCCATCTCTCGGGGGAGCAAGTGTACCCCGTGGGATACATCCACCTGGGAGCACACGCCTGCGGGGCGCACGTGTGGCAGCAGCCCCCCCCC